AAGTAAAATATTTAGAGCAAACTATTATATTAATTCAATATTTAAAGGTTCAAAATCGATTAATTATTTTTTTTGTCACACATTAAACTAAAATAGAATAACAGCGAATGGTCCCAACTTCTCTTTTGCGAATTGTTTCATGTTCAAATTGTTGATGAAAATATCACCATTCGGATTATTTCATAATCGTGTTAAAACTTCTTAAAATTGATTCAACGTAAGATTGACTCCATGCTATCAAATAGATAAAATAGAATAATGATTTTCAAATATATTGATTTGAGTTCACGAGTTAAAATTAAATATGGTTTATTGAGAAATTTATCAGAAATGCCAACACTAGTTTCCCTCTTCTTTCCCCCCTGAGTGAACATCAGATGATGCAATGCGGGGGGGGGATGAAAAGGCACAGGCAACAAATCGTTCATTAAAAACTTGTGCATTACTTAAGATGAGTTGTAACAGATTTATTAGGAAATTTTTAGTATTATTTTCAGTAGTAAATAAAAATTTTTATTTGGTATATACTTGGCTTAAGCGAAATATTTTATGAGAAGAAAATTTTTTTTTCAAGGAAATTTATTAATGAATTTAATCATTTAAATAAATATTATATATCATCACAGAAATTTCAAAAATATTATGTTAGAATTTTTACAGAAGAATAGTTTCCGCACATGTATAAAAATTCAAATGTATTTAAAATTTGTTTGATAATTTTCCTGAATGTGTAGTGTTCAATTTGTTTTTATATTCAATGTTTTCTTGCCCCCTCCAGAGACTTGCTTGCATTTTTTTCAGGGGCAATTAAGAACTTCATCAGGGACATTCTCGCACCTCTGCATGCTGCACTGTCAATTTTATCCAACTCTGACAATATTTGCGGTTACTAAAATTTTTTCTTAACTTTTCACTAGAGATCAAAACTCTGTAAAAATTATATGCTAATCACATTCGTTTCAGTTAATTTTCCGTCTTCAGCAATCACTCCATCAAGAAGTGTCTCTAAGTTGAAATACAGACACACCCTCAAATTATACATAGAGAGAGAGAAAAAAAATAATTGTTTCAGATTAAATTTGACTGTTCAGCGCTGCAACTCTTTCCACAACTTGAAGGTTGGGTTTTGACTAACAGAAATAAATAAAGTCAAATCCACCGTTATATTCCTGTAAGACAGCTCGTCCACCTTGGGAGTTATGAATTTGGAATGAATCCAATTCAGTGAATACGAATCTCATGAATTGAAAATGACCTGTCAGATTTCATTTCGTGTCTTATAAACAATTATTTTTTATAAACATAGGATTGACTTAGAATATAATAACATATGTTGTATTTTATATGATAGTTGGTCAGTTACAAGACATCAAACAATTGGTTTTGTTATTTAAAAGAGTCAATTTACATTTAGAAGAACTTGTCATTAAAATAAAATCATTTTGGTTTTTTTTAATGATCAATTTATCTTAAGTTGATTTTTATGTTTGAGAACAGTTGTTTTTAAAGCAGTCTGCTATAATTCAGAGATTTCTATTTGACTAGTATTCTCGACATTTGTATGATTTTTTTCCTTTGAGAGCAGTTTCTCCCAGTTTTATATAAACAAAATGCGATTTTTTAAATTATATTTTGATGTCAAAGCATTTTGAGCATCCACGGTACTTTTATTAAGTACCGTAAATGCTTTTTTTTGTAACTTAGAGAATTGAGGTAATGATTATGATGAAAGTTGCAATGGTATGAAGTGGTGAGGTGTGATAATTAACATTGAATTTACATTTATTTGTTAACAACCTAAAAAATATGAATGTAATTTAATTTGAAGAACATCTATAAGATTATGATGAAAGTTGCGAAGATATGAAGTGGTGAGGTATGATAATTAACATTGAATTTATATTTATTTGTCAACAACCTAAAAAATATGAATGTAATTTAATTTGAAGAAAATCTATAAGATTACGATGAAAGTTGCGAAGGTATGAAGTGGTGAGGTATGATAATTAGCATTGAATTTATATTTATTTGTTAACAACCTAAAAAATATGAATGTAATTTAATTTGAAGAAAATCTATAAGATTACGATGAAAGTTGCGAAGGTATGAAGTGGTGAGGTATGATAATTAGCATTGAATTTATATTTATTTGTTAACAACCTAAAAAATATGAATGTAATTTAATTTGAAGAAAATCTTTTTATGAATTTTATAATAGATGCTTATGAGAGATTATTAAGGAAAATTATTGAAAATAACTTCCTACTTTCTTACATAAGGCATTATTTCATATTTATCAGTTTAATTCTGAAGAATATGAATAGTATTTTATATATAAATTAGTTTTCATGTTAGTTAGATTTTTTTAAAAAGAAATTACAATTTAACCAAACAATTCAAAAATTTACTTTCTTAAAAACTTACAAATTTATACTGCACATTGGCATAAAATTTTTTTTTCTCTAGATAGTATAGTAAGTCTACAATAATTGGCATAAAAATTAAGAAAACAATCTGCGAAATAAAAGAAGAAACTAATTTTTCAAATTACTAAAAGAACTAAAATTTCGTAAACCTAGAGTAAATATTTATGGAAATACGGACACTTTTATAAAAAACTAAATTTTTGTCCTACTTTTTTTTTGCTATAGCTTTTTAAATATTGAATGGCATCAAACAATAGTTTTGGTGAAATTCAAAATTAAATTATTTAAAATTTTAAAAAAAATCGTTCAAAACTGCGCAAGATATAACTACTTAAGGTAGTTTTTTTTACTGCGCAATTGCGAAAAAAAATTTAAAAACATTTCTTCTTAATTTTGTAGTAAATTGTATTTGGCAATGTGATGAAAAAAGTTTGATTTAAATATCTCAAAAATTTAAAAAGTTTCAAGCAATATTCTAAGCTTGATGAAGATAAGCCAAGCTAATCTTCTCCTGAAATTTCATTTTGTACTATTAAAGATTTATTAAAAATGAGATTGGAATTACAGGGGATCATCCCCCATAAAAGTATGTTATCTTTCCTTGTGCAATCACATTTCGGTTTCCTGACGATTAATGTAAGGTATTATCATTAGTTATTAAAATTTGTCTTATGAAATACAATAAAATTTGCGAAAAATCCCTGATCATTTTGAGCTTTCTTTTAAGAAGTACAAAAACTACTTAGAAAATTGCTAGAAACTTTTTTTAGATGGTATAACGCTTTTTTTTAAAATTTGGTATTTTAGAAATTTAAGGTTGATTAATGCATTCCACAGGTTTATAAACTATTTACTTGCTTTAAAACACAAAAAAAGTTTTTTTGTATAAGAAAATAAATAATGATGTGTATCATTTTAATAAGTGGATCATAAAATGTCCTTTAGCATTCCGTTATCATGCGAAAAACAATGAACATTTGTTGAGGTAGTTTTTCTGGAAGACTACAAAAATGATTTCTACAATAAAAAACTTTGTATTTATATTCTACTTTTCTAAAATGTTTAACACGATATTTTTCTAAAATTATGTTTATAAACTGTTGGGAAATTGATTTTAAGAGAAAATATTGAAAAAATGCAGATAAAGTTACGTAATATTTAGCAAGATTTTTTTAAAAAATATTCTTATAAATTGTTAGGAAATTAATTTTAAAAGAAAATATTGAAAAAATGCAGTTAAAGCTCTTCAATATTTAACAAGATTTTTTAAAAATATTCTTATAAATTGTTAGGAAATTGATTTTAAAAGAAAATACTGATAAAATGCAACTAAAGTAGAGGAAAAGTAGTCTCTTAATCTACCAAACCACTTATCATCGTTAAGTGAACTTAAACATGAATTGATCGTGAAAACACGTATTATAATAAAAAAAGGAAGAAATTGATAATTGGAAATGTTGACCCAAACGAAAGCTTTGCCACCCCTAAAAGTAAGTCAGAAGTTCAAGTTAAAGTTTCCCTATTTAATTTATGTTTTACAATTACTAATTTCTCCATGTCCTAGCATAAACAAATACCATAGTCTTTAGAAATTTCAAGCAATTTCCTTTTTTTCTGAGTAATATTAAACAAATGTTTCTTCAAAATTATTATAGTGTAATTATGAATGTATCTTAATTTTTGATTATAACAACAAAAAAAAAACACTTGTGTATAAAATCAATTAGGTCAAATGTCAAACGAATACATAAAATATGAACATTCCAAGTAGAAAATTTTTATAAAAAAAGAAAAAGCCAAAGATTAAAACATTGAATCGGAAAAATTTTATGTTAACACATGTTATTTTACGTTAGTTTAAATTAAAAAAAAATGAAAAAATCTCAAAAATATTTTGGCATCTAATTCTAATAGTGACTTATTTTCACAATTAGAATTTCGTTACATTTTAAATTTCTTTAAATATATTTAAAACTAAATATAAAAAAAATATGTTAGTTACTAGTTTTGAAACAAATTAAAAACTTAAAACTTATTAGCAAGTTTATAGAAACATAAAATTACTAACGAGTTTTTAATGAAATAATTATTTACTATTTAATAATCTAATGACGCTATACAACCAATCAGTTATGTAAGTGAGTTAACACATTAAAATATTTTAATTAATTTAATAGCGAACGCAATCTAGTTACCATGTTGACAGTAAATATAATGATATTAAAATTAAACAATAGTAAAATTTTTTTGAAAAGCCGAGAATAGAGAAATTCCATAAAAAAAAAATTGTATTACCATTTTAAAAAATGTATCACATAAAAATTAATTATCAAATATTAGTAAAATTTTAAAATTTGAAACTAATTTTGCTTTCAGCTGTTAGATAGTAAAATATATAAATATTTTTTTCTTTGTTAGTGAAATAAATAGTTCTTACAACTTCAAAAGTTCACACAAGTTTATAATTTTACAAACATTTACGTAAAAACTTGTAGTAGAAATAATATTTGAAAATTGATGTATAGCTTTTTTTAAAATACAGAAATATGATTAATGCATAGATTGAGTACTTACATTTTAATGGGGTATTCCAATTAAAAAAATAAATTAAAAAAAATCACTTAATAAAAATTAATATCCACAAATCACAAACAGACACAATCCAAACATCAATCAGCAGTCCAACATGAGAGTAAAACGGGTCATGACAGCAGATACACAATTCACAAGCACTACACAGCAGCAACCAACAACTTGACCCATCAGTGCCTATTTGGGCACTGAGACTACCTGCTCAGTCTCAAGAATAAGGAAACCCACTTTCGAAAAGTCCGGTCTTGGAGGTTGTAATAAGACGTTGACTTCGTTCTTCGCCAAAGATGAACTCAGAGATGAAAACGAAACTACTGAAAAACGCGCTTTTTTGCGTAGATGATGATAATTGTTGAGATGATATTGAGCTGTCGCAGTAAAAGATGTAGTTAGATGGAATTTTCATATACATTGCTATTAATTTTATTGGGATCGTTTTAGATCGACATCGATATGATTTTTGGATCATCGATATGATTTAGATCGATATGATTTTTGAATATACTCAGAGATGAAAACGAAACTACTAAAAAACGCGCTTTTTCTGCGTAGAAGATAATTGTTGAGATGATATTGAGCTGTCGCTTTAAAAGATGTAGTTAGAGGGAATTTTCATATAGATTGTTATTAATTTTATTGGGATCGTTTCAGATCGATATGATTTAGATCGATATGGCTTTTGAATATAATAATTTTACTATATATTTTTTGGATCATATGATATTTGCTTATATAGATATTACTTTTATAGAATATCTTTTTAGATTATATAACTTTTATTAGATATTCTTTTAAATACCTATTAGTTTTTTTTTATATCAACTTGGATTCAGATAATTTTATTGGAAACCCTTTTGTATCAAATTGTATTATATTACTTTTATTGGATGCTCTTTTGTATAAAATTGCATTATATTAATTTTATTGGACATCTTTTTGGATCATTATTACTTATCTTGGATATCCTTTTCGATCCAAGTTATTTTATGAATATTCATTTGGATCATACATTATTATCAGATATCATTTTGGATTTTACTTTTATAAGATATCCTTTTAAATAAATATTTTTATTGGATATCATTTTATATTATGTTTTGTTGATGGGATATTATTTTAGTTTATATTTCTTTCATAAGATATTCTTTTTGGATCTGTATATTGCTTTTTTGGATATTCTTTTGGACCCAAATTACTTTTTTGGATATTCTTTTGGATCTGTATTACTTTTTTTGGATATTCTTTTGGATCCAAATTACGTTTTTGGATATTCTTTTGGATCCAAATTGCTTTAAGTGGATAGCCTTTTGGATCTGTATTATTTTTATAAGATAGATTTTGATATCTATATAAAGGCAGCAACTTTTTGTTTTAGTATTTCTCAGTATTACATCTCATACTTAACAATAGTATGCCTTAAATTAATCAGGTTTGATCAACTTCGACTATTAATCCGATCATCATGATACTTGGGTGTTAAAAAATGATTAATTTGCACTGTTATTTATTACTTTTTATAAGCACGACGACTAACACGAATAAATTTAAAGTGTGTATTGTTTATTTTGCAACACAACTATGTAATTTTTACTTGTAATTTTAGATGAAAAATATTCAGTAATCAAATCTTTGTCTAAATGATCACAAAAGTAAAAATAAAGGTTAATTTCCATAAAATTGCACAAAAATAAATATATTAAACAAAATGGTATAATAAAATTTATTTTAAAATTGGTTGCAACAATAGCCGCAGAAAGTAGCCTATATATTAATAGTTACTAAATTTTAATGAAATAAGTTTTACTCACATTAAGAATTGAAAATGTAAGAAATATTTATTGAAAATAATAAGATATTTTGAATACATCTTTGCGATTGAAAATATAAGCTATCCTATATTATAAACTAGATAAAAACTAAGTAGATTCTTTTTATTTAAGCTTCATTAAAATATTTCATTACATAACATACGATAAATTCAACTCGATAGCAATGACCGCTTTTGCGTATCAAAACAAGGAAGCCATTGCTAATGATGCATTTTCTTTCTGTCTAGCTTGGAACAGTTTATTTTAATGTAAGTTATAAATTCACTATAAGGTCTAATTGATTTTGAATTCTAAATTTATCCCGAAAGGTAAATAGAAACACAGAATTTTTTTTTCTCTTTATTTTATCAACAAACTCGTTCACACAAGTGCTGATTTTAGGTAATATATGACTTTGATGGATTATTCAAAATATTGTTTTTAGAGTTTGCGTTCAGTTTTTTTCGTCATGGCTGAAATAAACTTCAATGCGTTGACTTTAGGTAATATAGTTTGATGTCTTCATCTAAAACACCGTTTTCAGTTGAAGTTAGTTTCCGTTTGGGTGACTGATATAAATTTCTACTTGTGCGATAGTTTTCTTCTGCATAGCTGAAATAAACTTCAATACGTTGACTTTCAGTAATATAATTTGATTTCTTCATCTGAAGCACCGTTTTCAGTTGAAGTCAGTTTTCACTTATGTGACTAATATAATTTTCTACTTGTGCGATGGAGTAAATAATTGATTACTCTGGGAAACAATTGTTTTTTGTTGCATGAGATTTTTTTAATGGATCGTGAATTTGAAATTGGTGATCACGTCACAAATTTCAAATCTGCAATCAGTTTCTCTAAGATTTTTCTTAAGTGGCATTTTTAGCCTATTCTTTGTCGAAATGTACGATGCACAAGAAATTAAGCAAAATAAGTTCTTATCTAATGATCGGATCTTCACGTTCTAGGACTCGATCTTAGTAAATCGAGGGGGTGGCCACAACTATGCTATATTAATCAGAGCAGAGGATATTCTGAGCAGAAAGCAGACACAAAAACTTTCTATCTCTGAATAAACATGACTTTTTTTAGCGGATTCAGTTTTCTGATCTCTAAAATATAGGGGGCAGCCGCAATCTGGGAAATAATGGTTCCAATAGTTTAATTAAGGGAACGACCATTTAATGATAATTTCGTCGAAAAATCGGCATGTTTATTCAGAGAAAGTACGTTTTAGTGTCTGATTTTGCAACTTAAAATATCGTCTGTACTGATTAATTAGCACATTTGAGGTCACCCTTTCGAACCATTAAGATATTATCCTAGAACGTGAAGAGTACCATTAGATCAAAACTTATTTAGGGTGGTCCGTCTATTTTCTGCTCACTGTACAACTTTAAAAAAGTTATCTCGTAAATGCTTTTACTTTCATATTATAACCGACATTGAACAGCTGACCCAATATTTGGGTTTACGACTACTAATGTTCAACTCCGTAGCCTTGTAATTTTGAACCCAATCCAGGAGACAAGGAAGCTCCTGGATCGGTGATTGGCAGAAATTTGCCTTTGTGGAGGACTTTTTGATGGAACTAACCCGCATTTACGTTACATGGAGAGAAAGACCACGAGAACCTCTCACGATTAGCCTCGCTGCAAGGGGACTGTAACCCATGATCCGTTTACCATTGAGGATATTTCACATCAGCACTGAAATCGGTGAGAGCCGGATGTGGAATTGCTATCGACCAGCCATCGCTCGGATTCGAACCCAGTTCACCTCATTGGAAGGCGAACGTTTTGTCCCCTGAGCCAACACGGCTCATCGCGTAAACGTTGTGACAAACTGTTTGGAGGATTAGAGCACATCACCAGGATTAAAATTGCATAGAATCCTTTATACGCCGCCAGAACGCGCCGCCAGAATATGTCGTTTATACGCGAAACGACATTACTTTCAGGTCCCCTTAATATCTTAAAGGGATATGTTATGTGTCGAATTTCTTGTTTTGTAGAGATAATAGCGAATTAGTTCTGCGTTGAAAAACGAAATACAAGTTGCGGCTATTAAGTTTCAAGTCTGATCTAATAATTCCAGATAATATTGCGTAAATTATAGACCCATATAATAAGTTTTAAAGTAAAGTTGGAAAAAGTTTATTTTCCCACTGAAAGTGAGGCTCTTAGTATGCCCACTGACAAATATACAGGTAGCGGTTTAGTCGGCACGTGCACTTTGAAGGTCAAGGGTTCCTCCAGGACGCTTGTGGGGATGCCAATTGTGATCCGGTGGAACAAGCCAGGCTTTATTAACCTTAGATTTGCGGATAGAAAATAATACAGAGTAAGTGAGGGCCGTATTTGGAGAGGCTGGGAGGGAAGTACCTTATTTTGCCAACTGATCAGCACTTTCGTTGCCAAAAAGATCCACGTGTGAGGGTATCCACTGAATATGGATGTCATGGGAGGCTGAGAGGGCATTTAATAAACCACATTTAGAGACACCAGCCCGGTCCGTTACTCTCTCCTAATTTCTCAGGTGCTGAATACAGCTACGACTGTCCGTGAAAATCCAGACATTCCCAAAATTGGCTCTAGTCCTGATAATTTCCAGACCTGTTTGAATAGCAATAAGTTCACTGCGAAACACTGAACAGAAATCTGGATTTCTTAGTGATCTAGATTCGTGAACTTCAGCAGGATATATGGTGTAAATTCCACTGACGGTGTGGTGATGATCGTCACCGCTACCATCCGTATAGATTTTAAGATCGTCAGCAGGACAAGGTTTATTATCTCCAAAGCCAATTGCTTCAAATACTCCGGAGGGTGGTTGCCGTTAGTAACCTCAGAGAGCAGTGTAGTATGGAAGAACACTCTGGGCAAGCCCGCAAAGGGGACATACAGGACTGCAAATGAACTGCGGATCAACGTTGAACTTAACTGCATCAAGCGAAAGAGTCAGAGAAAGAGGGCTGTCCTTTTTTAATCTTTGATAATTTTGCCAATTAAGCAGAAATTCAGCTGTCCGATTCTGAGTGCCCAAGCTAGCCAATTTGGCATAGTATTTTACAAGGTTAGATTCCCTTCTTATTTCCAAAGGCTGTATATTTGTTTCATTTAGTAGAATATGACTCGGGCAACTGCTACGCAATCCAGAAATAATTCTGGTTGCACTATGCTGAACTTTTTCAAGCTTCTGGAGATCACTGGCCGAAGCACAGGAGTAGACCTGGAAACCATATTCCAATATGGGTCTCACGAGGGCAGTATATGTTGATCTAAGGGTGGCTGAGTCGGCTTCCTAGTCTTTGCCTGAGATATACTCATGGTAAAGAGGAAGGGGACAGCTTTTATTGATCAAAGGATTAGGAGCGCCGGTGGTAGAAGTACAGAAATAGTACATACAGA